GGGGGGGGCGCCGGCGCCCCCCGCCGAGCCCCGCGGCGGGGGGAGCCCGCTGAGCCGGCTCTCTCTCTGCCCCCCGCAGCGCCACGGGCTGGCCGTCTGCCTGGCTCTCACCACCATGTGCACCAGCTTGTTGCTCATGTACGGCGGCATCGGCATCGGCGGGGGCCACCCGGAGGCGCGGCGGCGGCAGCAGCAGGTGGCGGCGGTGCCCAGCCGCCCACCGGAACGCGGCCAGCGCCACCCAGCTCTGCCCGTCGGGGCCGGCCTCCTGGAGGGCTACATCAGCGTCCTGGAGCACAAGGTGAGCCACCGGCCGCGGGACCGCCCCTCCCTCCCGGCCCCGGAGCAGCCGGTACCCCGCGCTGCCCCGGCCTCCCTCGGGAGGCTCCGACCCCGAGCCTGCCGAGCTCTCCCTTCTGCCCCCCGTGACATGCCCCGTTCCCCTCGGCGGGGTCGGCGTGCCCTGCCTGCCTCGCTGTCGAGGTTGGCTTAAGCGGCCTCCGGGTGCCATCGCGCCTGGCCCGGGGGCAGGAATTACCGGGGTCAGGAGCCGGGCTCCAGTCCGAGGTTGGGCGTTTGTGCCGCTGCTTCTCTTCTCCCTTGCACAGCAGAAGCGGGGGAAGGGTGAAGTGCTATGTTTGTAATGCTGTATGCTCTAGGTACAGTACAAATGTATGTTTATGATGATATTATTAAGGGTTAAAGAATGAGGTTTATTTACTGGAGGGCAAAGTCAATAGGTAGGTGTTTATTCTTAGCTAATTTTGTCATAGGAAAAATAAAAGTCTCCTGCACAAATGACCTTTTCATCTCCCTTCTGGGAAGCAGAAGTTGTCACCCGTAGTTTCCACTCTAGAAATTGGGGGCACTTCTTTAATGGTGAACAAAATTATGTCCCTCCCCTTGACAGAGGAATTACCAGGCTGTATTGTCAGACTATAATACTTGTTTACCAGAGATAGGCAGACTAAGCTTTGATAACTCACAGGACAGATGTAGTGACATAAAGTGAGCAAGGTGGCACATCCATGCCAGAGAAATAATCAAGCTTCAGTAATTTTCTCAGAAGGCAGATTCCTCTGCTTTTTGGATGGTGTTTGGTTTGTTGCTTTCACCTGGAAATTCCAAGGTCTTCCTCTTCCAAAACCCCAGATATTGTTTAGTGCACACACATTTTACAGTAAAAATTTACTTCAGAAAATAAGCAAGAGAAATGAGGATTCACAACTTTCTTAGGTTTTCACATCCAGACTGACAACCTTCTGAAAGATATGTTGTCAAATGAGTTACTGGGCTCAGTTTAGAGGTACTGTGTGAAGACTAGTGACTTTGATATACAGAGATTTTTATTGTTCCTTCTGGCATAACTTTCTATGCAAGAGTTATCTGTAGGCCTCTTAACACAGAAAAATAGCACATGATGGTGCCTTGTAGGCTTTATTTGCTTTCTTACATGGTTGTCCTGGAAATTCTCAAATGTAATGTCTATAGAAAAAGCGAGTTTGGCCTTGGGCTTCCTACTGTCTGATGTGCACTCTTGTAATTCTTTTGTTCTTCTTGGACATGACTGTAGTGATAGGTGTGGATATACGTGCACATGGTTTTTATATGCAGCAAGTAATCAAAAAGACTTCTGTGGGTTTTATGGGATGCATGTGTGAGTAGCCTTCTAGTTCTGATAACACCTCATACTGATTTCTCCAGGCTCACAAACAGCTCTCATTAACAGGCCATACTTAAAATCACTGTTCTATTATTTTCCAGGGTAATTTTAATGTTTCCCTGTGTTTCGGAGAAAGGTGATCCTTTGGCTTTTTAATATATTGTAATATAGCCCAAACGCCACAGATACTTCATTTCTGAATTTCATTTCACACAGCTCATGCCTCACAGTAATAATCTGCTGAAGGCTTAATAACTTTTCCACCTAACTTCTGTGGGTCAAAAAGAATATTCTGCTATCCCTGCTGTGTTCCCAGCTTGCTTTGTCTTATTTTAATGCACATGAGATCATGCAGAGAGCTATGCCATTATGGTATACAGAGCAGTGGGAACACTGCATTACCCTAAAGGAGACTGGGGAGAAAGGGACTTTTGTCTCTTAATTATGTATTTATTTTTGTAATACAATTTGGTAGTCCATGTACTTGTCATGGATTTACAATCCCAGAATACATAGGTTTCATGCATAATAAAAATAGAGAATGCAAAAAATCGCAGGAATTCATGGTTTGGAAAAAGAAGGGTGCAGGATTGGTGATGGTAAGAATAGGGAGAGAGATAGCAAGAACTGAGGAATGGTGAGACACGTTCAGAGAACATGTGGTTTGGGTGGGACACTGCAAACTGCAGAGAAGACAGCTTGAATAGCAAATGAAATGAGGGAGTTGGGGAGGTTTTCAAGAATGTGAAGAGAGCTGCAAGAAGAGAGCAAGGTAAAATTCTGTAGCTGTGAAAGGGACATGATATTTGAAGAGACTGGGAGGTCTGGAAGGAGATGGGAGGTATCTGTTGTTTGAGAACAACAGGCTTGTGAAGGTAAGGCAGGAATGAGTTCAGCAATGGTACATGTTATTTTGATAGCACAGAGGTGATGGTGTGAAATGACAATGAATGGTAGATTTTTCACCGTATAGCTTCCTTAATTTCCCATATAGAATCTTGGAATTATCTGTCAGGTTGAATGACCTGAAGCTGAATGACCATTATACAAAATTCATCCTTGGTATGTGTTCATGCATGAATGACAGATAGCAGTAGACCGAATGTCTGGATCATTCTTGTGCTTGTTTCTGGATCCCATAATTTGCTTTAACAGGAAAATCTCCTTTCATATTCATGTATGGGTACAACATGGTGTTGTACCTACTTTAATGAAAGTAAGTCTGCACATATACGTAGAGGCTGTATGACAGTTTCTGAAGTTATTAATCCATAATCACAGTGCGAGTATTGACACACAAGCTAAGTATGTGGAAGTAAAGATGTTTCTCTTCAGCGATAAAATTCAACAATTGTTCTAGTTGTGAAATATCATGTATGACAAATGTCTGTCGCTACTAGCAATACACCTCATTCAGTGGTGCTGGATGATCATGTATGGAGACTACTTGCCAGAAAATCTGGGCACTTAGTACTAAGTAACAATGATTTTTAAATATAGCCTGCAATATTGTAATTACCAATTATTTTTCTCCTTTTATTTTATATTCAGTAAGAATTGTAGTTCCTCATCCATACTGTCAAGATAAGCAGGCAGTCTCTGAGAATACAGTAAAAGATGTCTTTTTTTTTTTTTACTGTGTTGAAGAGGTTTTTTGCAGGACTTTCTAGTCTTTTCCTTCATCATTTCTGCAAGCCCATTTTTCCAAGAGTCAAGCATCAGAGATCAGAACCCCTGCACTTAACTTTAGTAGCCTTCCACAGTTTAGCAGTGCGTACTTAATTTTTGTTGAGCTGAATTCTTGGAGCAAAAAAAAAAATTAGAAATGCCGTGAATTCAGAGATGAAAGTGTGTTCTTGTCATTTCACCTCTGCTTGTCCCAGAGCAACAGCAGTTGACATTGTTGATGGATGTTTGAAATGAATAAATGGTATCTCTTTTTGTTCCCAATTGCCAGATGTTGTATCCTAAAAAAAACCCTCACATTTTGAACAGAAAATATGGTTTGCTGATAGCTATTATTGAGAGGTCAAGGACTGAAAGTGAAGAAGTGGTGGCTTCTACTTTGAGGAACTGTTGCTTCCTCCAGAGGCACATTAAGTGTAGCACTTTTTAGCTACTGCATCTGCTCTGCAGTTAGAAAGGACAGGAGTCCTACACTGTCAAAGCGACATCTTTTATTAGTTCTTTGAGTGGTATCCTGAAATTAAAGAGGTTTTGTCACTGGCATTGAGGGAAGCAGAATCACACTCTTCTGTGAGGAGGAATGGGGATAAGCCTTTTTGTTGATTTATCATACTGCTAGCAAGAAATTACAATGCTAATATTTTTAAAGCAATTACTGCATACAAATAAGAGAATGTTAATGAAAGTAGGAAATGTAGCACTATCCCAGAACTTGCAAGAAATAAATATTTAACCATTATATTATGATTCTGAGGTGTATGTGAGAACATGTCTCTGGATAGTTAAAAAGCTTTTTACCCAGTATTGACTCAACAGTTGGTGCTGCAAATAAAATATGAGTTTGTCACATATGTAATTGAATAATATTTCAAGCCATCAAGGATTTTGTTTCTTAGAAAATAAAAAAAAATTAAAATCAATCCTGCAGTCAAAATGTATGATTTATTAGAAACACTTTAAAATACCTTAAGAGCGAATTGAGATCAACATGATAATTTAAGTGATCACCATGATTTCTTAATTTATGATAATGTGAGTTATCATATGCAAAGAAATCTTGGTGATCCCTCTAAATTAATGCAGATCAGAGAATGTGTAGTTAATGAAGTGTTTGAGGAAGAGTCATTCTGCAAATAGTGCTGCTATAGCTCCTTAATCTCTGAGTTGCAAAAAGTTGCTCTTGGATGAAACTATTTTTTTTTAGGATAATAAACTTTGTGCACTTAAAATCAGGTGGGAATCTTGCCATATTTTATATTATTTTTAGTAATTATTAAGTCAAATGAGTTTGGAATTTGAATTTTTGCCTCATTAAACCATTGACGTTTGGGGCTGGATAGTTTTGAGGGGCTTCACTAAACCAGCCTTCATAATTAAACATAGAGATGAGAAGGAATCAAATTATTTTGAAGATTCTAGTGTTTTTTAAATTTATCACAGAACCATAATGTATCTTACAGCCGAACAGCTTGTCTTGCCTGAGATGGGATCAAGCCCACAGAGTTAAGTAAACCACGTACCATGATTTCATGACATGTTCCTAATTTGCCCCTGAAATTCTTACCTGCAAAGGAAGGAACACAAACTTTATTATGCAATTAAGGATTTGATGGAGTTTTTATTATGTGAGAGATCCACAAGGGGGAGACTTTATTCTAGAATAACCTTGTTGGGGACACTTCCATCTGTCAGAGACCTAGGCAAATTTGGAGTCCAAAATGCCCTTTGCTCAGTGCTCTCTTGGCTTCCTGGCTTTTTATATTTTTAGGTACCACAGTTCTCTGCCACTGATAAGCTGTAGGTTTATTTAAATCCTTTTAAAGTTGGCATATTAAAATAAAAAAAAATTAAAAAAATACCATGACAGTCAGGGAATGTAACTGAATATCCACACACAGAGAGCAGACACAATTGTTCTTCCAGATTTAGCCAGCTTTTGAATAATAACTGTC